CCAACTGCTGGTCCTCCCCCCCACCCCCGCTTGTTTTTAATGTAAACTAAACTTGCATTCCTAGTTCCAAGCTCATCTGTCTTTATATATCGTTGAATTTAACACTATATACATATATACGAATTTTTACATCCTATGTTCAAGATTATACTAATGAAAAAAAATTCTTTTAATGTCTTCAGTTTTGGTACTTGGGAAATGCGTGTTTCATAACCTGAGCTGGGAAGTGTTCCTCCGTCCTCCGAGATGGTGTGACTGGGGTCCCTTTTCTGTGGACATCTGTCCCAGGCCCGGCCGCAGGGGCAGGGGTGCTCCTGGATGAGTCCCACTCGGGCTCGGCAAGCACACGCCCCATTCCCCCGGCCGCCTGGTCCTCCTCGGCTGCTGCTGCCTCCTGGAGCCGGGGGTGGAGTCACTCCGAATCCGGCTGGCCAGGTAGCCGGGGTCATTCCGTCTCCACCGCCCCACTGCCGGTCTTGGTTCAGATCCACATCGCCCAGCAACTCGGGGGTTAAAAGTGACTGGCAGTCGGGGCCAGCAGGTGGCGGTAGTTGGGGTGCCAGAGCCGCCCACGCCAGCGCGCTGCCTCCGTGCCCCAAATCCCGAGAATGGAGGGGAAGGGGCTGTGTGGCCGCCCCCACGGGGTGACGGCGCACTTTCCCGCGAGCGCATGCGCTCTATGGAAGGAAAAAAAGAAACCCGCCAAGTGACCGTCGGACATTTAAGAACTTTGGGGAGAAAAACCCAACCCCGAACCGACAGGCCGACGCCCCCGCGGCCGTGGCAGGGCCTAGCGAGGCGCGCTGCGTGGCTGTGGGCGTGCTGTCTCGGCGCGCGCGAACCCCGACCCGCAACCACGAGCGCCAGGCTGGGCCAGACTGGCTGGACAGAGTCCCGACGGCGCCTGCGCGGGGCGGGACCCCCTCCGACGGAAGAGGCGCGGGGCCACTTCCGGGGCCGCGGCCTGTCGGGAAGGCGGGGCGTGCCCGGCTTCCGCCCTTTCCCTCCGGGCAGAGCGGGGGCGGCCCGCTCCCCACGTCCTCGCCGTTCGCGGTGGCGCGGCCCGGCCCCGGCTCGTCCGGAGCACGGGGGAGTGGGTTAGAACACCCCGAGTCAGTAGGTGGGCGAGGAGCCCCCAAGACTTACTCTCAGGCACGGGGCGCTACGGGGACTTTAGAGGGAGCGGGCCCGACTCTGGGTCTGGGAAAGGGTGGGTGAGCAGAGGGCCCGCGAGTGTAGACAGAGAGGGTTCCGCAGGCCGGGAAGAGGCGAGGAGGAGGTCGGGGCAGACGCAGGTGCAGCCCAAGGGGGAGTTCCTTGCTGCGTGGCTTGGTGCTGCAGCTGGTGACCCGGTCTGCCTCAGGCTGCGGGTGTTTTCTGACGGAATGGCAGTAGCCTGCTGGCCACTGAGATTACAGATGCCTCCCTCCCACTGCTCTACTGGCTACTCCAGCCGGTTCCAGTTGAACTAACTTGGCCGTGAGAAGGTGCTTTATGTCACTACACCAAGGGATCGGTGTCAGAGAGAGCGCTGCGGGAAGGCTTGGGCTTCGGATGGGACCTGCCGGACTTGTGCAGTGGCCCTTGGCTTCACGTGAGGCCAGGTCCACCGTCCACCGGCCTTCTGCAGGGCTGTCCCCTCCTGCAGACCTTGCTTTGTGAGTCAGTAGCCGGGTGGGCGATGCACTCTTGGCTCCTTTGCAACTCAGCCCCGGCTGCGTGGGGCTTCTGCACACTGAGCTGCGACTTGGTGCCTCTCCAGCGGGTTTCAATAAGCAGTTTTACTGTGAAGTCGTTTGTACTATGGAGGGGTCTTATATGGAAGAGTGGAAATTTGCCTTGCAAATGACTTTTCCTGTGCTGACCATCTAAAAAAAGTATTTGGCCCTTGGGGCCAGCAGGGGGCATGGTGGTTAAGGCACTGGATTTCCACATGGCTGACAACTGTTGTAATCCCAGACCTGGTGGCTTGAAAGTCATGCAGGAGGCATTGGCATACGTGCCCAAATCACAAGAAAAGAATGGAGAAGGGATTGCAGCGTGGCCATCCCTGCCTGGGTGATTGCTCCCTCCTTCTCTCCTGTCTCTGGTGAGTGCATGCACCCTATGGCAAAAACCTAACAAAAAAAGTATTTGGCCCAGAGTAGATGCTGAGTATTCTTTTTTTTTTTTTTTTAAAGAATTATTTTTATTAACTTTATTTAAGTGACAGAGAGAGGGAAAGTGAAAAAGCAAGCTGCCAGGTTGGAGACTCAAACCATGGTTGGCCATGCGGGAGTCCCGTGCCCTTAACTATCCTGACACCTGCCGGCGGCCCCGATGGCAAGTATCTTGAGTGAACACATGAGAGCGGGCAGCAGACTGCAGTGAGGACCATGCAGGTCTCAGGTCCCATGCCTGGCAGTGGTCCCTTCAGTGGACCCACAGTCCCTGAAACACCAGTGTGTTCACCAGTGCTTTCAGGGTAGCTAAGACCCAAGAGGAATGAAGGACTCAGAAGACAAGCCACAGGACAAGACCCTCAGACGTTACCTGGCGTCTAACTGGTAGTCGATTAGTTAGGGCTGGCGAGTACATTGTATCCTCTCAAACTTATTTTTAAAATGTTTAAAGAACTGGGACTTTTACTTTGTATGATTTACTTTTTTCTTTTAAAATTAAATTTAAATTTATTTATTTAAATTTGACCAGAGAGGGACACAGAGCAAGCTAGAGCTAGAGAGGGAGGGAGAGTAAGAAAGCAAGCTGCCAGGTCTGGGACTAGAACGGAGGTTGGCCACGTGGGAGTCCAGCACCCTTAACCACCACACCACCTGCCAGCCCCTGATTTACACTTTCCAAGGTTTAGTTGTCGGATTTATGGCTTTCACTAGTCTCTTGTTTTGACATTTGACACTGGCAGATTAGATGTCAAGAGCAGGTTACATCTAGCCAGTCTGCGGTGAGGACAGGGCGGGCTCAGGGCAGACAGTGGACGGGGAGGTGTAACCGTGTTGCCCCACGACTGCGGGTGTCCTGCAAGCGGTCTGTCTCTGTGCCTGGTTGAGATTTCACAGGGTACTACAACATTTTTCCACTTGGGAGAATAAGCAGTCCTTACAAAGTAAATGCTGAGAGAACTAAAAATGATTTTTTTCTTAATATGCTGTTACTAGAAAATTGACACTTCTGCTGAGAGTCATTACTTCTTAAAATTTAAAAAAGGAAATTGTGGGGGCCAGCCTGGTGGCCGAGGTGCCGGGCTCCCACACGGCCGGCCGTGGGCTGAGTCCTGGATCTCTCCCACGCGGCCGGCCGTGGTCTGAGTCCTGGATCTGGCGGCTTGCTTTCCCACTTCCTCTGTGGCGAGTGCATGTGCCCTGTAGCAAATGAAAAATAATCATTATAAATGAAATAAATGAGAGTAAATTGTGACGCCGGGCCAATCCTTTCTCCCTCTGTCCGAGTTACACTTGAGCGGGAGCAGCCCTGATTTGGGGCGAGCCGAGACGCACCCACACGGTGCAGTATTGTCTGAAGGGCCGAGGTGTGTGCAGCGTGGAGTGTGGCTTGTGTCAGCGGACACTGTCAGACACCTGAGCGAGGGGACGCAGGGCCAGGAAGGGGCCGCGAAGCTCCCCGATGAACTCACGTTTGCCTGAGTAAAACCACTCGCGGTCGCACGTGTTGGATTGAACTGCGTGGAGTTTGGCACCCCTCCCAGCTGTAGATGGAGGTCTGCCAGCAGTTCCCAAGGGACATTTCACGAGGGACCCGCGGTGACCCGGCTGTGTGGCGCACCGGGAAGTCCCTTTCTGGAGGTTTCTGCTGTGAGATTATTCTGTGGGAGGCAGGAGCAGCCCGGGGCCTTGCTGATCAGCCAGTGCTCGGGGCGTTGGGGAAGGGGTCCCCTTGAGCGCCTGTGCGTTTCTCTCAGGTTCGCAGAACGGGAATCCGGGTCCTGGTGCTCGTGCCGGGTGTTCTGTGTACCCTGAAATGCCACCGTGTGCATCTCCATCAGGCTGAGGTGGAACTGGACTAAGGTGAGCAGATTCTGCCTGCCCCCTAGCCGTGGCAGTGTCACCTTCTGCCTCCCAGTACCTTAGCGCTGAGGTCACGGCGGTGCCAGGAGGGCTGTAGCCGCGGAGCTAGGTGGTGGCACATCCGGAGACAGACACAGGCCTCTGCACCTCTGCCCTTCCCTCACGTGGGGACTCCCGGGCGGGGACAAGTTCCCGTCAGAACTAGCGTCCTTCACTTGACCACCTGCCCTGTGCAGCCTGCGGGGACGCCAGGGGACGTTTGCCCCCGAGTTACCAGGAACGAGGCCCAGCCCCTCGGAGGAGCAGACGGTGGGGCACAGCCCTTTCAGTGGCCCCTTGTCTGCCTGGAGCAGCGGGGCAGAGCGACCTCTCGGAGCTGGGGACAATGGCGCCGCCACGAGTGCTTGTGGGCTAAGCCAAGGACTCAAGGCAGGCTTAGTCCGGAGAGGAAGCTGACGAGGCCTTCACGCTGGGAGCGAGACGTGTCCTGGGCACACACCAGACTGCACTGCGGAGGCCAGGCCAGTAGAAACCATTGACGTTTATTGGCGGTCACAATGCGTACACTGGATGCAGCAAACACCCTTACAAGTCTATCCGCAACCTGATCGGGAGAAAGGGCTCACCACAGTCGCCAGAGAAGGGGAAGTGGACAGGCTCGTTTCTGGGGGTGGAGGAGAGAAATAAAAGTAAAACCTAATTGACGCGTGTCCCATGGGCAAGAGCCGAACTAGAGAAGTGTGCAGCTAGCAGCAACGGTTGTGGGAGGGTACAAGGCAAGGGGCTTTCTCCAGTAATTGCCTCTGCAGGTTAATGTTTTTAATATTCAAAACATTTATTATGGTTTTCATTTTATAAAAATGTATATTTTTAAAGGGGTGGGAGGGTGTTAAATACTTCATGCTAGGTAGACCTTGTTATTAAGAACCCCTCCACTGCAGGCCCTCCTCCAGCTCACACACTCAGACTGCAGGTACATATATAAATATCACACGCACACACCCACGCGCACGGCCCCAGGGCGGGGAAGACTGAGTTGCTGGCCACGGCAGCCAGGCCTCTGCGTCTGGGGGACTCATCCAGACTCGCTCAGCAGGAGCAGCCGGCTCAACGACCTCTGGCCTCCACCTTCGCAGAGACCGAGAACCTTAAAACACACAGTTGAACCCAACTTTTAAAAGCAAGAGGCATCTGAGGATGAGGATAAGTGAGAGGGTGGAGAGGAGGACACCAGCACCTCCAGCTGGAGTTATCTGTCCCCAGAGAGGCAGAGGGCCCTAGGGCACCTCAGGGGAGGGGCGGGGCGCTCCGGCATGGCTTCGCGTTCCTAATAACAAGGGTTAATACAGTAAGTGACCACTTTCGGGGCGAGGAAAGGGCAATAAGAAAAAATATACATTTGGAATTTTTACCTTTTTTTCTGCCTCTCTACACTGTGTCACTAAATATATCTCTGCACTTCCACACACCCTTGTCGGGAAAGCTTCAGGCCACCAGCACACGCGTCCCTCCCTCGCACACGCAACCCCTCGCATCCGCATCGGTGCACTAGGCTCTGTAAAAATTTCTCAGTCACACTTTTTGTTTTAAACTTGAGTCAATATAAACCTTGTTCAAAATGTTATGAAAAAATGTACATGTTTATACAAGGCAGGTTGTGGCAGGACGCTGGGGTTCTGCCCCACGGTGACCCCAGGAGGGGCTGGAGTCGCAGCCAGTTGTGTCTCTCCTCCCACCACCGTCACCAGCCCCGGCACCAGCAGCGCCCTGCCGTGAGTGCACGCACACCCCATTCCCGGGGAGCAGCGAGTTGCCCGTTGCTGTCTCCCCACACCCCTGGAGAGAGGAGCCAGGATCAGCCAGGCCCTCTCCTTGCAACTGCTCGCCCCGGGCCCGACCAAAGGGACGTGCTCTGTACAGGTAGAGTCCGAAGAGGTGTCAGCTCATCATGTCATTGCTGTTGACGCCGTAAGTGGAATTCTTCATCGAGTCGTTGACCTCCCGACGGAACGCCGACAGGTTCTGGGTGAACCTGCAGAGAGGGCGCGTGGGTTGGGGGGCAGGGGCGGGTCTTTGCCCAAAAGGTTCCTAGCAGGGAGAGGGCTCCTCAGAAGTGGGATGCTGGGCCTGATGGTTCTGTTAAGGTCAGGTCATCTCAGCCTGAAGGCTCCAGGAGGGATGGCCTAGTCCTGTCCCTCTTTCTGCCTGGCAGGCTGACATCGGGCAAAATGGGGGCCCCTGTGGGCCACCTGGGGCTCATGGCAGCACAGATGGAATCTCACTGAGAGGTGGGGCACGTGCAGTCTCATTTCCCAAAGCCAAGAGATCAGGTGCTGAGCAGTGCCGTCCACACGGCTGCTGAGCAATGCAGTGGCCAGGGCGACTGAGGACCTCACTCCACGTTAGCACCCAGTGTCCCAGGACAGTCGTGGTGAGGTGGTGAAGGCAGCTGGACCCCACATGGCTACTGTGTGGTTTGGGCCCTGGACCCAGTGGCTTGAAAAACATGCTGGGTGCGTGTGTGCGCATGCCTGCCCCAAATCCCGAAAGACATGGAGAAGGGTGCTGTGACAAGCCCTGTTGGGGATGGTTTCTCACAGTCCTTTTTTTCCGCTTTCCCTGGTGAACACATGTGCCCTCTAGCAAATAAACAAACAAAAAAACAACCAAGTGCTCAAAGAGCACCTTAACTTTAAATCAAAATGCCTTGTTTTAAATTAAAATCAAATAAAATAATTAAAACCCCAAGTATTTGGCCAACAGGTGTTGTGGTGAAGACAGCTGGATCCCACATGGCCAGCGAAGCAGTTTGAGTCCCAGACCCAGCAGCGTGAAAAAAACACTGGGTGCACATGCACGCGCGCCCAAAGGAGAATGGAGCAGAAGGAATTATGGCGTGGCCAACCTCCCAGGGTGATTTCCCACTACCCCCCAATCTCTCTTTCTCGTGGGACTTCTCATCACACTTCCCGCTCTCTAATAACAGCACATGCTGTTAGACAAAAAACACAAACCCAGATAGTCAACTTAGTTTCTAGAAAACGTCAAGTATTTTTGGAGCAACCTGAGTGTGCAAATCTACAATGTCAACCAAAAATCTATGAAATCAAAATTCAGATACATTCTTTCCAACAGATACTTAGTAATCTGAATTGACATGTACTGGTAACAGTAAAATAAACAGGATTTTGAAGACTTAGGACAAAAAAAAGAAGGTTAAAGTTCTCAATATTTAAATGTTGACATGAGCTCTGGCAGTGGCATGGTGGTTAAGGTGCTGGACCCCCACATGGCCAACTTTGGTTTGAGTCTCGGACCTGGTGGCTTGCTTTCTCTCCCCCTGACTCCGGTGTGTGTGTGTGTCCTGGTCTCTGTCTGATCAAATTAAAATATAGTAATAATAAATAAAATACAAATATTGACATGATATTTTAGATGCACCGGGTGGCATGCAATACGTTGTTAAAATGAACTTTGCTTAAATGTGGCCGCAGGTCAAGCATCCCTTATCTGAAATGTTTGGGGGCCAGAAGCGTTTTGGATTTTGGAATATCTGCAGAGCACAATGAGGTTTCTAGGGATGAGACCCAAGTTGCAGCACGGAATCTATTTCTGTTTTATCCCCCATACACAGCCTGAAGGTAACCTCTCGCGGTGTTTCTGCGCGGCAGTACTTTTGCCTGTGACCCATCACGTGAGGTCAGGTGTGGCATTTTTCACTTGTGGTGTCATGCTGCTCTATGAAAAAGTTTTGCATTTTTGCCCATTTGGGATTTGGGATGCCTGACCTGTACTAGAAATGTGAAATTACCCACGTGGCTGGCTTGTCTACTGGACAGCACTGCTTCGCTGGCCTCCATGTGGCTGCAGAACTCCGAAGGACCCCCGTTTCTGATTTCTTGGCAGGGCTCTCTGTACTCACCTGTCTCTGTTTTTCGTAAGAAGGTTTCGCTCGATGCCTTCCATTAGGTTTTCAAAACACAGGTGCATAGCCTGCTGCTTCTCTGGTGGCTGGCTGTTCACGATACTGTTCCTTAGGTCAGAGAAATACTGCAGGGCACGGAGGAGACACCAAGTGAGAAGGCGGGGAAGGCGTGTGAGCTGTCACCTGCCGGCTGGGGGATGTCCTCTGTGAAGGAATGGACTAGCCACTGAAATCAGGTCTTTTCTTTTCTTTTTTTTAAAATTCAGGCAAGTACTTATAGGACAATATGTTTTTATCATACTTAAAAATCAAGATTTTAAAATTGGTAAAGCATTTTAAGGTTTGTCTGATCCAGACCCTCTTTGTGAGAATCTCAAGACTTGCTCACGGCAGAGGTGGAACACAGACTCAGGTCTGGGTGCTCCAGTTCAGTCTCCTTATCAAGGGTTTCTCTTACTCCCTGGAGGAAACCCCTCTTCCTTTATCCTTTTTCTGTCTCCCTGCCAAGTAAGCTGACTCCTAACGGCCAAGTGATGGTATGGTGTTCCAAGCATGGATGGGAGTGCTCAGAAAACTGCTGTGCACCACTGTGGGGAGTCTAGCTGACTCGCACCCTCGGGGTGGAAGCCAAGGGTGCGCCTCCCACTGCTGTGCCCAGGCCCCAGGGAGCTGGCTCGCCCACCTTTTCATTAAGGAGTATCAGGCCGAGCAGGGGTCGGGACATGGACCACTGGTTCCTGCAGTCTTCGAAGATGATGATGTTCAGCACCGTGGACAGCATCTGAAAGCGGAGCACGAGGAGGTGACCCAGAGTGCTGAGGGCTACCCCAACAGTCCAAACCAAGGAGGGTGTGTGAGGTGCGGCGTGCTCTGTACCACAGGACAAGGCAGACAGGCTTGGGGAGCTCATTCTAGTCTTCTGGGTCAAGGCAGGCTTTTATTCTGTCCCTGTGGCACTTCCTTTTCCTGGTCTCTAAATGGGTTTGATAATTTCATTTACAAGTGGACCTCCCCAGTTTATTCTGACTTGTAGGGAATGGAAGATCAAGCAATCAAAACTACAGTAGGCAAGACCACCTGGTCTCCAGGCGCTGGTCGGGGGGAATGCATTGCTTTGTGGATGTAATGGGCTGTGTGTTTCCACAAAGGCGGGGCTGGCTAAGGCCGCAACAATTCTACTGACCCCGCTTCCCAACCAGATCTCACCTAGGGCTGAGCATGTCTACGAGTTGCTTCAGATCTTATTTCTGTAGCATGTAAACAGAGTAAGGGCAAATGCACGGTTTGACCTCTGCGTGGGCCATCCTGTTTCTAGCCACCTCATGATCACGAGGTGAGGCTGGGCTTGGGTGGACCCTTGTAAAAGTGAGTGACCCTCTGATTTCTGGAGGGCTGGCGATTGATGCAGAAGCCCCTCTGCTTCCAAGACGTGAAACAGCCTGAAAGCGAGGCCTGATACCCCCGTAGGAAGGCACTAGCCATGGCTGAGCGCCCGGTGGGAGGAGAGATGCCAAGGGGGCAGTGTCTTCTTGCTGTCCCGCATTCCTGTTTCTGTTCTCAATAGGGAGCACCGCCAGAGGAGGGCAAGCAGAGGGCTCAGTGCGACGCAGAAGTCAGACTTCCTACACCCAGTGCTCGCTAGCAAGCTCAGCTGCACGGCACCATGAAGACCTGAACGTCCCCGTGAAGACCCAAACAACACCGCCTGCTGCGGTGTCGGTCCCGGCTGCGGATGCCCTGGCTGCCTCCCACGCCACCCCACCTGCTGGATCATCTCCGGATGCTGCTGCATGATGTGCAGGAAGCGGTCGCTCTCCTGGCTCAGGGGTGTGGTCCTCTTCTTGGTGCTGCGTGACAGCTGCTTGAAGAGGTACGTCACGATGTGGTCCAGGCAGGAGCAGCAGCCTGTGCACACCATGGTGTCTGCGAGGGAGAGGCAGGGGGGGGGCGGGGGCGGGGGCGCGC